ATGTCCGTCCAGGGAGCACTTCAGAAGCCAGCGATGAACAGACACAGGCTACTCGTCACGGTGTTTTGAGGAGTTTGATGGAACGCTCGACGAAGTGGATCCCCTTTTACTTGACGAAAGTGACGAATCTACAGAAATGGATGAAGACAGTGACGAGGAAGAGACGGATGAGGAAGATGGCGACGTAGATGATGATCTTGAATCAGACCCCGGCCTTCTAGGTTTCTTTTCCGCCAAAGATCTTGGTTTCAAATTGGAGACTGACGAAACTGATGAGAATCACGCTTTTATTGATGGCGACACTGCCCCTGATGATGACAACGAAGACTTGACGGAAAACGAGGAAGACGATGAAACGGACGCGGTTCATCTCGTCCCTCTCGGACCGTTGGCGAGCAATAAATCTCCTGACCTTCCTGCATCAATTCCTGCTCAACCCCCTACACCTTCCACCACCATTCTGCCTGTGGATGACAAGCCTGACCATGAATCCCAAAGTCAACAGATATTATCCGAGGATGATGTGATAGCTACCCCTGGTACGAACCTTCTTGTTCCAGATAACGATGGAGCACTCGACGAGCGTCCAGATGCAGTTTCTGGAGATACCCATCGTACCCCTGCCTCTCCAACGTCGCTTCGGTTGGAGGATGGGGATCCGATTCTCAAAGATTTGGATCAGCAAACAGCAGTTGATGATCATCCCCAATCACCGCAAGAACGGCAAGAGGATCGGCTGCAGAGCCCAGTTGAAGAACCTTCATCGCCGAAAACACCGACAATAAAAACGCAAATACCCCATTTACTACGTGGAACTCTCCGTGAATATCAACATTTTGGCCTGGATTGGCTCGCTGGGCTTTACGCAAGCAACATTAATGGTATTCTCGCCGATGAGATGGGCTTGGGGAAAACTATCCAAACCATTGCCTTGCTAGCACATCTTGCCGTTGAGCACGAAGTGTGGGGGCCACATTTAGTTGTTGTCCCAACTAGCGTGATGTTGAATTGGGAAATGGAGTTCAAAAAGTGGTGTCCTGGATTCAAAATTCTTACCTACTATGGTACCCAAGAGGAAAGAAGACAGAAGCGGCGAGGTTGGATGGACGACGACCGGTGGCATGTATGCATCACTTCCTATCAACTTGTTTTACAGGATCAGCAGACGTTCAAACGGCGCAACTGGCATTACATGGTGCTTGACGAAGCTCATAATATCAAAAATTTCCGCTCACAACGTTGGCAGACGCTTCTGACGTTCAAAACAAGAGCAAGGCTTCTCCTAACAGGCACTCCTCTTCAAAATAATCTGACGGAGTTGTGGTCGCTTCTTTTCTTTTTAATGCCCAATGATGATAGTGAAAGTGGCGTGGAAGGTTTTGCTGATTTGCGGAATTTCTCTGAATGGTTTCGTCGCCCTGTTGAACAGATTCTCGAGCACGGAAGGGAAACTATGGATGAGAAAGCAAAAGAAGTGGTCACCAAACTGCATACCGTGTTACGCCCTTATATTCTCCGCCGGTTGAAAATTGACGTGGAGAAACAAATGCCCGCGAAATATGAGCATGTGGTTACATGTCGATTGTCTAAGCGGCAGAGATATCTCTATGATGGCTTCATGTCTAGGGCTCAAACAAAAGAAACCTTGGCTTCGGGGAATTACTTATCCATCATCAATTGTCTCATGCAACTCCGGAAGGTTTGCAACCACCCTGATCTTTTTGAGACACGCCCTATCACAACGTCATTTGCGATGTCTCGGTCCGCAATATCAGACTTTGAAGTGAAAGAGCTATTACTGCGTCGTCGGCTACTATACGAAAGCCCCCTGGAGAAACTGGATCTCGATTTTCTGAACTTGGTGCCAATCTCTAGAGAATACACCTCTAAAAGATTAGTGGAAGATGCTACGAGAATTATGGCGTATAATCCGCTAAGGATGTTGCGTGAACGCCAGTATAATCGTACGAACTGGGAGATGAAGTTCGATGGGTCTTCTTTACAGAACGTTCTATATTCGATGGAAAACGCTGCGAGAAAAACGAGAATGGCAGAGCTTGAACGATGTTTATACTTCGAGTCGAAGCGCCATGGAAGACGTCCGCTTTACGGAGAAAGCCTGATAAATTTTCTTACGGTAGACAAGAACTTGAAACCTAGCCTTCAGCGGCGGCCGTTACGACGTATGCTTAGCGATTGGCTGTCCCAACAATGCTCTGTGCTTGAATCTATGGTCTGTTCGCTGGAAGAGAGGTCTCGTCAAGTGGAACCGCTTGTGCAAAAGTTCGCGTGCCTCACACCCGCCGTCGTGGCTCCAGCTGTAACCTCGGCTGCACTGACACCGATCAAATCTCACTATTTCTCTCATTCGCAACTTATTCCCAAGTACGACCCTTTTCACGAAGCCCAAACGCGTTTGTCAATTGCATTCCCTGACAAAAGGTTGTTGCAATATGACTGTGGCAAACTTCAGCAGCTGGATAAGCTTCTCAGGCAACTTCAAGCTGGTGGTCACCGCGCCTTGATATTTACCCAAATGACTAAGATGCTTGATATTCTTGAACAATTCCTCAATGTTCATGGCCACCGCTATCTACGCCTGGATGGGTCAACTAAGATTGAGCAGCGGCAGATGTTAACGGAGCGATTCAATAATGACCCACGCATCCTGGTCTTCATTCTTTCCAGTCGCTCTGGTGGGCTGGGAATAAATCTCACGGGAGCAGACACGGTTATCTTCTACGACTTGGACTGGAATCCTGCCATGGATAAACAGTGTCAGGATCGGTGCCACCGAATTGGCCAAACCCGCGACGTCCACATTTATCGTCTTGTCTCCGAATATACAATCGAATCGAACATCTTGCGCAAGGCCAATCAAAAGCGAATGCTTGATGACGTAGTTATCCAAGAAGGAGATTTTACGACGGATTATTTCCAGAAATTCGATGTTCGTGATGTGATTGGCGATGATATACTGGACGGACAAGACGAAGCGAGTGCCGCTATGGATAGGGTTCTGGATACTAAAGTTCGCGATCGGCCCAAAGTATTCGACGAAGCCGAAGATAAAGAAGACATTGAAGCCGCAAAGACAGCTGAAAAGGAACTTGAACACGTTGATGAGGGGGATTTTGCCGAAGGTAGTCTTCCACAAACTCCTGGCCAGACTGGTCAAAGCCAAGTCGGTACCCCTGGAACGGTTGATTTTGCCGATGACGAGCCTCCCTCTGTCCCTCAAACCAAAGACGCGTCCGCTCCAGCGACGCCAGCTGCGCCTACTGAGCCAACATCTACATCCGTTGCCGTGGCGGATAGCGCAATTGACAGAGACATTGGCCACATCGATGACTTCTTTATCAGACTAATGGAATGGAGCCTAAAGGATGAACCGCTGGTTCTCCCACCAGACAAGAACAAGAAGAAGTCGAAGAGGGGCAAAGAACATCGTGTCAAACGGCGTCGATAGTCAAACCCGTCCCCTATTCATCAGATGCAGCCTCGGGCCCGTATCCTTGGAGCATGGAGGATCGTATGCCAAGCCGCGTCGGGATTAACACTCCCTCGCCTCCTGCGGGTTTGCGTTTGTTGGGCCTTGTTTGGGCCTAGTTGTTATTACTGTTATATACTCCTCATGGAGATCTTTATTCCCGTTGATTTGCGGTTCCCAACTCCTTAATCCTTTTAATATGAAAACCGAGTAGGCTTTGTAATGGCGGGCTTTGCACATGTCTTCGGGTTATGGGAATGTGGGCGCGCGGTGTGGACAAGACGGGATAGCATTCTGTTTTCCTTTCATGGCTTTGTTTGCTCTTCTGGCGGTTGCTTTCTTGGAGACATCTACGATAATATATATTCGCGCGCTATCTGATACTAAAACGAATGAACTGTCCTTGATGAAGGGCGTTTTTGAAGGACAAGAGTGTTCTCATCTATACTCCGTATGAATATTGTTCGAGCCCTATTGGCTCAGGAGGCTCAACCATCCCGTTGAAAAGGCACAGGGACAGTGACCAATCCAGATGCTGCTCCGTTGCAGCTGCATTCGACCCGGCAGGAAACTGTTTGGCGTTCTTCGTCCCGGGAATCAACCCTCGCTCCCGTGGTGTCTTGGTCGTGTTGGCAAGTCTGCAGAAATCGAGACAAAGACTTGGGGTCACGATTGACCTTGCGACGACGATCAGCATGCCATGGGATTCGTTTCCGGCGATTCTCCCCCAGACCCTGCATTGTTCCCGGGGCGAATAGGCAGGTGGCTAGAAAGAGAAGATGTGATCGATCAGACGACTTTTCCAATGATTCGGTTTACCTACCATCCACAAGGTTTAAAATTATTTCAAATCATTGAAACGGCTAGTAAGGGTTCAGAAGGCAAGTAAGTCCGTATCATAATTTCTTCTTTCAATATCAATTTCAAAATGTGGTTCGATATCCTCAGGGCTCGATTCATGCCCATTTTCCATGCCAACCAAGACGAGGCTTCCTGCAGAGCTTTCCTTCGGAGCAGAAGCGGAAACTTGGTTGCGCCCTTTCCCGAGATCGACTTGTGTTCTTGTGTGGCTGTAATTAACAAAGATAGTAAGGAGTAATAAGTATAGGGGGTCAAATTTACTAGCAGCGGACAACCCGTCGGAGAAAAGGCCCCCAGCGGCCGGTGAACAAAGCCCTGAATGCCTTTTAATTAGCCAAACTAGCTATTTTAGCATGAGCCGTCATTCTTCAAGTGCTCTTTTGTCCCGACGTCTTGGGTGCAAACCTCCATCGACATTCGACAAGAATGACTGGCGACGATGCCACTGTCGAGCGCCTAAACGGCGGTTGTTGAACGGATGGACCCACTATGGTGCTTGTTTATTCGGTGATCGCGAAAGAGAAGCCCAGACAGCTTTGGAGGAGCAGGATGGCGGCGCCAGACCAAGAGGCAGGGCGACGCGTGCGCTCCCATGAGACGCCTGCCGGACAAGGGGCTTCGTTCAGGAGTAACTATCCAAATGTGTAAACCCGTCGATCAGAATGGTCATTGGGTAAGAATGGATCCAGATGACCGAGTCTCTCCAGTCTCGGCAGATCTCCTTGAAAGGCGTTGCGTTCGCTACGCGAGGCCTTTCCCCATTTCTAGAAAGCGCATTCAAACCGCAACGAACCCCGCGGTCTCTCCCACAGTGGCGGCAAGATACTTGAAGCAAGCCGGGCCAATGGGCCATGGAGCGAGAAGGGCATCGTGGTCGCCACCAGTATCAGCAAGAGATGAGCCGCTCCCAGGTTGCACCTAATCGCCAATGATCTTTACTTCCAAGTTCAGATCGACCATAGCCCTTGACAATCACAAGCCTCGGCACGTTAGGTTCCGCTATCCTCTGCCCTTCAGGCTTCCGCTTTCATGAATTATGACGGGTTTGCGTCCTGTGAATACCTTACAATCCATGCTTGCTTCACCGGAACCTCAGCCGGGTCCCAACCTCATTCGACGCTTGACTTAGTGTGTGAGTGTGGGATGCAATAGTTAATGCAAACCCGTGCTGCTGGGCGTAGTTACCGACCAAGCGGAGATCTTTAAGGAAAATAAAAGTTTTTGTCTCAACAGCACTTCTGGAGATCCCTGGTAACTGACTCGAATTCATCCAATGGCCTTAACACGTCGGCCGCTTGTTGCTTCTAACCTGCAAACTTCAGCTTCGGCGATTGCTTGAGTGACTGGTCCATTTGCTAGGGATTTGAAATAATGCTTGTCGATAGAGATGCCAATGCGCTTTTAACCTTTTTGCCTTGGATATATGAATTGTAATCAATGTTATCCGCGGCCGGGTGATGGACACCGAATTCGGCGTTTGCATCGATGTATATAGGGGGCTTGTAGAGCTTGGGAACCAATGCATTTTTTGACTCAAGGGCAAACCTTGTGACGCTCGAGTCATGGTGATGCTTCCTTTCCCTTGGATATGGGGTACCACCGGGTAAGCACCCACGAGCAGCAGTCCGTGGGCACGTCTTGTGGTCTTCACCATCGTCGGTGACGTTCTCCTGCAATTGCAAGGGCATATCCAGTCTCTCGGGTCTCCCGCTCAACGTTATTGGCCCACTTCGCAGATTTTGTGACGTATCAACAGACCTTGCAGGGTGATGAATTGCAGCGCCGCCGCCTCATAGGTTGGGTTGACCCAAATCGAACGCCGCTCCCTGCATTCGAATGCAAGTTTGCAACTCCGTGCAGGGATCGAGATCAGTGTCTTAGCGAGTGTTACCTAGTGATCTCTGGGCCTTCCTTTTGCCGATGCATCTCTCTCGTAATCATAATGAGTGATAGACTGCAAGGAGACAAAACCGCCCCCATGTGTGAGTGGGATCATTCCAAGTCTCCTTCCAAAAAGGCATCTAGCTGGTCAACTAGTTTTGATTGCAAAAACCTTCTGAAATAATGTTGCTTGATGCTCTGCATCAAGCAAATGCTCAGGGAGGATACGCGCCTTTGAAAATACCGCTATGAACGGTGACCTCTGGTATGCACAAATGTATTCAGAGCGAAGCCGCTCCACAAATTAGACCCATCTGAGACGGAAGACCCTCGTGTCCCGGGATCTGAAGGCATACTAATGCGGTTTGGGGTCAAATCATCAATTGCGAGGGAGAATAAAAGCCCAGAAGCACTCCCAAGGAATAGCCGGTTCGTGTGGCTGTTCTCTAGTCTTCACTATCCCTGCGGTCTTGTTCACTAGCCTTAAGCATAGCAAAACTGCGAGCCTTTCAGAAGAGGCCGAAATACGGAGTAGTTAAAGCTCTGACCTGCTTGTGGTAAGAGGCCAAAAAAAAATCTCGACTCTCACACAACGCTCATTGCAAACTGTTTCCCAACGGTGTGGCAATACGAGTCTTCCGCTGAATTGATCAAATTTTGAACGAACTTGCCGCCGAAGAGTCGCCTGGATAGCACCAAAACTCGCTGCCGCGAATCCTGTGTCTCGTGCCAGGCTCCAGATGTCACCGAGCACTAGCCCTCTGGAGGGCAAGATGAAAACAACGATTTCATCAGACGTTTGGGAGAGCAAGAAAGCTCAAATCGCAAATTTATACAAAGTTGAAGAATGGCCCCTAAAGCAGGTCATGAAAAGGATTCGCAGTGTGGACTTCAACCCGACGTAAGTAGACTCCATACAATCAGAGCACTTCACAAGCATCGGGGCTTTTCTCATTAGTCCTATATTAGTGAAACACAGCTCCGCAGCAAACTGAAGAAATGGGGAGTGAGGAAACCGTCACGTCAAGAGCGGAAAAAAGCGTCAAATGGAGCGGCCACACAAAAGGTAGTCGTGAAGGCGGAACAGTCCGATAAGCCGACTGGCGACTCGACACCGTCTTTAGACTGCGGAGTTTCTGACTATCCGAGCCCAGAAGGGGACGAGAGATGGAAGTTCCCTCCAACACCAAGCCAGAACTACCAGCTCGGGAATCCAGCTCTTTTCGACGAAGTGCGAAGAGATCTGGCGATTCGGACAAACAGCGCCGCGATCCCTCGAAATAACAGCCCACTACACATGCCGCAACCAACGTATTCATGTAATTCCCCAGGTCACCCTTTTGAGCAAACGTATCCGATTCCTCGTTCGATTTGCGATGCGCACGTTGGCGCCAGAACGGTTACCGAGTCTTCGCCACCACAGGCCTTCGCGCCCTCCGCGCAGTACTCGGCTCCAATCTCGCCTCATATATCGCAGCACAACAGAGACCCTCCCAAATCCTCTCCATCACTTCTTTCTCATAACTCATGGAGCTATGCGCCGCCCGAACAAGCTCAACTCCAGTTTCCGCATGAGGGGTATGCCCGTGGTCCGAATTCACCTTATCTTCCCCCACGTACTGGACAGCCTCAATTGCAGAACGAGCATCCCACTTTGCCTTCATGTTATGAGGAAATCTCACCTTGCGATCCTGAGGACGTTGAGTCAAGCCCCAATTTGATAGCCTGGAAAAGGGCGTCTACACTTGTAGACCCGCACGGAAACTTCGTTGGGCACGCTAGGGTGGCTAATCGCCCACCTAGGGTACGAAAATCCAGAGTGGACGGAAAGGCAATGCCTCAACATTGGGATACTAGACCAATCTATCCCCAGCTGCAAAACCCCGGCAATGTGGCGATGCCTCCATCTATACATCCTCCTCTGGTTCAGTCTTCCGTCCATGGTGATGTACAATTTGACGGCAGCAATGGTGAATATACCATGTCAACATCTACTTTGGGCATCAATTAGAGATGTTGACATTCTTTGTCGATTTTCCAGTTGTGTGGCCTTTGTTCTCCTCTAACGTAATATGAGGAGAGATTTATTCTACAGCCGTTGAATCTTTTTTTCGTTGTCCTTTTTTTCCTCCTTCCTGTCGAAACTGGGGTATACAAATCTGCACAGGTGTACATTCTCGTTGGGTGGTCGGACGGGGACCTGGCGGGCCAGAGGAAAAAGGAGTTGGTAGGGTATTTCTGCTCAGATTTTGTTTCATATACATTGCACTGTGCATTCTTTTTCTTTTCTTCATAGCCTGCCTTGTATTTAACTGGATGTTTGAAATCCAGATTGGCATATGGCTCATCAGACCCAAGCAGTTTCATTGAAAGAAAGGATTCAAAGGTGTGAAACATCTTAAAATCGAAGACTCTGGCTGCATAGTTTGAATCAGCCAGAGAATTGAGGAAGTAGGCGTACAGACATAGCAATATCTCGATGCACTTCGCCAACAAGCTGCCATGTTGTCGTCGGAGGACGTTGGATCAGAACAACCTCGGCATCTTCCCCGCGCAGCGACAAACCGATTAAGCTTCGCCGGTTTGCTGCAGGACTCGAATGATACCGAGCTTAACACAGGACAGGCGGCTTTATTAAGAGCAGCTCTCATAGACGTTTTGGCAGTTATTGCAACTATTTCTGATACTGTGGGTAACTGGCTGCGAGAAATATGCGTGCGATTCAAGTGAGCGAATATGTCAAGGTAAGTGGCCATTCGATCATCTTGACACAGGCCAAGCTGATATGGAGCCTCTCAAACATAGGGACCCCTTGACCTTAGGGTCACAACGCTACCAACACCGACACCCGCGCCGGATCAATATCTGATCCAAGTTCACTCCGCTGGCACCAACTTTTTCGACCTCCTCCAAATCCAAGGCAAATATCAACATCAGCCACCCCTGCCATGGATTTCTGGCATGGAATTTGCGGGAATAATCCTCAGCACTCCGAGCGGCATTAAATCTCCGAAATACAAAATTGGTGATCGTGTGTTCGGAGCTAGCCAAGGCGCCTACGCTACACATGTCCTGGCCAAGGAGCAGTCGTTGTACCCTGTGCCTGAAGGATGGAGCTTTGAAGACGCCGCCGGATTGTTTGTTACGGTGCCTACATCTTACGGTGGTCTTGTCCATCGGGCCAATGTTCAGAAGGGCGATTGGGTACTTGTTCACGCTGCCGCCGGCGGTGTTGGGCTCGCCGCTGTGCAGATTGCGAAGGCAAAAGGCGCGACGGTTATCGCCACGGCAAGCACTGACAGGAAACGAGAGGTTGCCAAGTCGTTTGGGGCCGATTACACGGTCGATTATCGGGATCCCAAGTGGCCCGATGCAGTGAAGAAGTTATGCGCACAGCACCGAACGGGTAACGGTAAGGCTGGCGTTGACATCGTCTATGATCCTGTTGGTATGATCGACCAGAGCCTAAAGTGTGTGGCTTGGAATGCGCGGTTACTCGTGATTGGGTTCGCAGCGGGAAATATTGAGAAAGTTGCAATGAATCGTGTGCTCCTGAAAAACGTGAGCCTCGTTGGGCTGCACTGGGGCCAATACGCAAATTTCGAGAAAGAGACCGTAGGCGTCGTTTGGGAACGGATATTTGAGTTGATTAGACAAGGGAAGTTCAAGGGAATCAGTTTCAAGGATGAAACCTTTGTCGGCTTGGAATCCGTGCCGAAGGCGTTACAGGCACTTGGCGGGAGGGAAACATGGGGCAAAGTGGTGGTCCAAATCTATGATAACGATAATTCCGAGGCCAAATCAAAATTGTAATATTGCGCAGATAGAAATTTGGATTGCGACGATTGGTTATATCATTTTATGTATGTTAGATAGAAGATAGGTCGCAATTGGACATTTACCATAAATGTAGAAGCGCAAGGAGTCATGCTCTCTATGGATTCAGTCCCTGAAGAAATCAAGGAGCTAAAAAGAGCAAATAACATGAACTATGAAGGCTCTTGATGGGAACCGAATGGCACAAGCCATTCAAGTCCCCGGTTTTCTCTTGCAACCCGAAAAGAACAATTTCACAAAAGCATATCTGCTTCTGCTTCTCGCCCAGCTCCAGCTTACACGAGCATAAAACATGCAGATGTGTTTGCTGTCCTTTCAAACGAAAGGGTTCGTAAGTACGCTGTCTCTGGTAGCACTCTTAACTCCGTCAGAAGCGAGTCTAAGGAGAAGCTTGCGTTGGAACAGCTGGGTTCAAAGGATTGCGTAAAGCATAGAAATCTTGAGATGGCATTATAGTGCGAGTTCTGCTTGTTTCCGGATGCCTCACGGGTGGGAATAGGCCCTTCGATCATTCGGTTGCGGCAAGTATCATCGTCATTCGGAGGGCTGAAACCCGTTTGGTCATAAATACGAGACGGATATTGAGTCAGTCGGAGGGAGATGGTGCTATTCGCATATGCTACGATGAATAATCCATCGTATGGTGTGATGTTTTCGCCAGCTGAAGTCAAGTTGATACAAGGACTGATTCTTTGGCGGTGGAAAAAATCAACAGGCGGTTGGCGAGTGTTTGCCCTGTTTGCATTTATCTAACTAGTTAACTTAGTTAGTTAGTTACTGACTAATACGACGGGGAATTGGTTTTGCCGGCCGGAATGGTTGAGAGCGATCCATGGTCTGACTGAGGCTGGAAAGCTTAAGCCCTAACGGTTGAAAGGTCGCCAAAAGCCCTTCGCATTCGAAGGGCACTGCAATGCCTGTCGAGCCCAGTCAGACCTCGATCTTTGCGGGTGGGAATAATAGGGCATTACCGCCGTCTTTTCGCCATAGCCCCCTGTGGCCGACCGGGTGTTATCCTGGGTTTCCCCGGATTCGGCATGAATCTAACCGTTTCCGTCCGTTCGTTCAGCTTGATTATCTAATCAGACCCTTGCATGGACTCCACCACATGACATCGTCGTCTCCAAACTGACCTTCGCTGTTCAGCGTTCACCTTTACCTCCATGGAGCCATAAGCCCTGCTTGAGCCTCTGGATTCATTTCAGAGCCATATACATGTCAAGTCGATTATTTTGAAACTACCATTAATAGGCTTCCTAGCCACACCCAATATACATCTTTCCACCTGAGAGCCCATCAAGCCATCCTCCGGAAGCCGCAGCAACAATGGCGCCCAGGTCGATGATACCCCTGCTGGTCACCATGATGTTGGTGACGGGGGTCTGCAATACTCTCCTTACAAAGTTTCAGGACATGCAGTGTGTCAGGAACTGTGATGATCCAGATCCTAAAAGGCGGGTTGTCTTTGAGCAACCTGTCCTCCAGACGTGAGTCAATCCGAACCTTTAGCCTTCCTTGGGGAGATTCCAGTGTTAATGTTGAATGTTGTGATTTAGGCTACAAATGTTCATTGGAGAGATGGGGTGTTGGCTTGTTTTGTTTGGGATGAACATGTGGAATCGATATGTTAGCCCACGATTGGGAAGCTCTTCAGCCCCGCTGTTCGCCGGAGGATATGAGCCCGTTGGAGGCGAATCGAGCGAACCTCCATCCTACAGTGACGCTGATGGCACCTTACCTTCCCGCGCGGACACTGCAAAGTCAATCGATTTCAATGATTCCCGCATTAAACTAAGAGGCACCAAAATCTTATTGCTTGCTGCGCCTGCATGTTGCGACATTTCTGGCACCACTCTTATGAATGTGGGTTTACTTTTTGTGGTGGCAAGCATTTATCAAATGACGCGAGGAGCGCTTGTTCTATTTGTCGGTCTGTTCAGCGTGTTATTCCTTCGCCGGAGACTTTATATGTATCAATGGATGGCTCTGGTATGTGTTGTCTTCGGAGTTGGCCTCGTAGGCCTCGCAGGTGCAATTTTCAACGATCACCACGAACCTATAGAGGCGTCTCCTAAGGACGTTATCCAACTTATATCCCGCGCCGCTCAAGAGGTGCACGCGACAGCTAAATCCCCAGAAGCTGTAAAAGTGATTGTTGGAGTTCTGCTAATTGCAGGAGCTCAAATATTTACTGCCACGCAGTTTGTTTTGGAAGAATGGATTCTTGAAAGATATGCCATGGATCCTTTGAAGGTTGTCGGTTGGGAAGGCATTTTCGGAACTATTTTGACCTTTGTGGGAATGGTGTTGCTTCATCTCACTATTGGTCGAACAGAGCATGGCAGATATGGATATTTTGACGCCGCTGAGGGCTGGAGAAACATGACAACCAACAGAACGGTTGCGCTCTCCAGCTTCTTGATTATGATCAGTATTGGGTATGTTACATTTCGTGTTCAAAACCCAATCTCTAAGACTCCCAAGTATGAGCTAATGGTGCATATTTAGTGGTTTTAACTATTTCGGCCTCAGCGTTACTCGGACCGTATCAGCAACATCACGCAGTACAATCGACACATCCCGCACACTTTTCATCTGGCTTGTGTCACTTGGGCTAGGGTGGGAGTCGTTCAAATGGCTACAAGTTGTAGGCTTCATGATGCTTGTATACGGCACATTCTTATTCAACGATATTATCAATCCACCGTTGAAAGCTTGTCTCCCTAAAAGAATGCCCGATGAAGCCGCGGAAAGCTTACTTCCTGAAGAACCAATTGAGCATATGTAACGCCATCTGCTCGAGTCCGTCCAGGCTAACTGCCGTATCCCGTCTCACCGTTCGCAAAAAAGGCTAACAGATATTTCGCCCACAAGCAGTGTTTGAACCTGCAATACCAACACAACGGCTGCTGGTTTTTCTCGATGGCGATTTTGACAGTCATCACAGCTTGACGTGATGTTGATCGGCTTTCGTGTTTCTCTTGGATTTCAATACGCGAGAAATTTTTGGATAAATATACCGGCGGCGACGCCCGAAATACTTCTTATAATCGGAGCGTTAAGCTACTGATGGCCCTTGATATATGAACCCCCCTTACGTACTACAAGACTCCTCCGCCTGGGACACTTTTCGCGGCTGGTGTTTGTTTTTGATGTTGACTTGATGTGGGTTTATTGACCTCTCAGGAGTTTGTTGCTATGGGGGTTAGAGCGTTTTTATAGTGTTTTCGGGTTTTGGCGATTGATATCATCTGGCTCCTCTACTGGTTTAAAGGGCGTTGGATGCTCCGTGAAGATGTGTAACGTTTACATTACTTGCGAATATTCGATCCTTGGAAATCACACTCAAATATGCATTAGATATCCCGCGCATACCCCAAGCTCATACATACTATGAGAAAGAGTCACATCATATTAGGGAATTATACACCGCCGCTTCAATATTCACCCACAGCGGAACCAGTTTTGGGTCTCCGAAGGGCAAGACCTGCGTAGTTATTACGCCTGCTATCCCCTTTTCGCGATCACACCACCAGAAACAATTTGCAATTCCTGCCCAAAACGCGCTTGTCGCTGTCCTCCCTGTAGGGCTAGGCGTGATCATCCAAGTGAGTCCCCATCCCTGCGGCGTGCGATCAGGAAGTGGATAAAGCTCCTGAACGGGATTAGTGAGATCTGGCTTCGCGGCGGGAAGTCCCGCCCGGCCAAAATCGGGCATGTGCGGAATTTGGTTTTCAAACATGCTGTCGACGGTGGATTTAGAGAGGATCTGGTTGCCTGTTGTAGGGGAGACGCCATTGTTTAGGAGGGCGGCGAGAAGTTCTAGGGAAGATGGGTTTTAGTGGTTGCGGCCTCTACCAGCAAGACTCTTTCTTGATAAAGGCACGGGCTTACGGGCATAATCTCGCGGAGTGGAGAAGCATCCTCCTCCTCCGCTATTGAAGATGAATTTCTTTTCGTCCTCATTAAACTCATCCAAAGGCATATGATTTGGATGGTGGCCCTGGCTAAGGGTGCCGTCCTGAGCTCGCTGGGTCATAGAGATCAATCTCTTCTTCATGGCTTCAGACGGGAAGAACCCAATGTCGTTCAAACCAAGGGGCTCAAAAATGCTCTTCTGGAAGTACTCGCTTAGCGGCACACCGGTGACCCGTTCGACCATGATGCCGGCCCAGTCGATATTGATCTACCGATTGTTAGCATCTTTCTTCCAAACTCCATGTGTCTGCATCTCGCAAAGCAGAGGATCGCATACTCCGTACTCCCAAGTTTCCCCAGGCTGATTAACCAATGGCTGCATGAAATCGTCGAATCTCGCGCAGAACTCGTCATAATTTTGGTCACGCAGATTGTCTCGGTAGAAGCTGTATCCAAACCCAGCTACAGACCCTAGGATTAGCGATCCAAAGCTCCTCCAATCCACGAGTAAAAGGCTGATAGCTACTCGCCAGTATGTGTAAGCAGCATCCTCAGCGTAATGCCCCTTTTCTTTGGGACAAGCGTCCCGTCATTCTGTAGAACGTGCACCTCCTTCAGCTCGGGACAAAGTTCCTCGACCAGCTCTACATCATCCAATGCCAATTTTCCCTGCTCGACTAACTGCATGCAAGCCACACCGGTGATCATCTTGGTGAAAGAAGCGATCCAATACACCGAGTCAGGGGTCGCAGGCTCATCTTGCCCGATTCCACGCGTGCCGGCGGCATGAGCGAGGATTTCCTGTCCATCTTTATTGACGACGACGAAAGCCACGTTGGGGAGACCCTGTGTTTGGTCCTTGCAAGCTTCGTCAATTGCAGCACGAATGGCAGCTTGGCCTTCAGGAGAGAGTGTCTTGCCCATTATTAGTTAGCCTTGTGGAATTTGCAAGTGTTATCTTTGAACCAAGTATCAGGATTGAAAACAGTAAAGGGCAGAGAGGGCGAAGCAGCCGTGAGGCTTCTTATCAGTAAAGAGACCTCGGGACGATGGTCTTTCCGCCAGACGAATTCGGCTGTTTCGGGACAAACGACGTCTCCTCAACTCGCTACCTAGTTCACAAGGATTGAATCCAGGCGCAAAGCAAAGTCCACGATGATCTTTGATTGTGGACCAAATCTGTAGGTTCCGAGATCAACTCCATGGTTCCGGGGAATGTGCCTTTCAACTCTAGTTTGGCTCGCATGTCTTTGTGATCACACAGTGTGCTACCTTTAAACCCGTTCTTGGAATAGCTATTTGCACCAGCTTCATGGCCTCAGTGCATCGTTGGATTGAGGCCATCGTTGATTTATAGCCAACAAACGGTCAACTTACTAGTGTTGATCGTACAGCAGCCAGACTAGAAGAGTATTTCGATGCTTGCACTCCTAAGCTCAACAACCACATATAACTGGGCTATCTCGTTCAAGTAGAAGTATGTGGATTATATGGCTAAGAAAACCGTAAATCGGGCTTATTTCCTTCTTTTCTCCATTTATCCTGGGCTTTGGCGACCCTGTTTCCCACTTTCAAATAAACCCTATTCCCCATCGAGAGGACTCCGTATGGGTAAGATCTCTTTAGTGAGAATGAAATTCAAGCTCACAGCCTCTCAACAACCGAGCTCAGATTAGAGACCACCAGGGCAGCCCTTGGCCACTTGGCCATTCCATTCACGAATTCTTATTGTACATTGGTCCAGAATGAAGGACAATATCAGAAAATATTATACAAGCACATAAAGTGCGCACATCTAGGGCTAGCGTTAGCCTAAAATAGAACATGGAAGGCGATTGAGTATACGGAGCTTTACCATTGACAGCCCCAGAATCATAGAGATCCAAAAGCAAACATTCTATAACAGTCGTCAACATATCTCATGCCTCAAGGCGTAGAAATCAGAGAAGCCCTACATTGAACGTTCTCCGCCCCTTAACAAATCTTGATCGTTGCGCAGCAACAATTGGTAACTGGAGCATCATTGCGAGAAACCCGTACCCGCGGAGTTTCTTGGTAATACATCCCATAACCAGTTCATGCCCAATAGAACTGACTAAAAATGTTATAAACATAGCTCCCGTGTTCGAGAACAGTGTCAGAGACGAAAAGTATACATGTCGCCGAAGGAAGTGGTGAACCGGAATGTTCCATTCCCGAGAAAACTCCAGCCTAGAAAACGGGTCAGGTCAGCTTATAAGTTTCGCATGATGATCGGAGCCTAGTACTCACCAATCACAGGAATTCCACCAGTCGGAATAGAATCGTCGATCTGCGAAACGAGTTATCTCTGCGAACGCCCCTAGAATATATTCGAAAATGACGAGGAAAACGAGCAAGAATGTAACCATAAAGGGGAATAATAGCATGCTTATCGTTTCGGCAAGGATAAGGCCTTTCTCAGACCAGTTGTCCACACGATGCAGCCGGAATGCGGAGTCATTCAGCACAGGCACGATGAACTCTTCGCTCGTTAGCGTCAATAAGAAAATACAACCAAACACAGCCAAAGCTTTAACCAGGACTCTAGTCCATTGCGTCTTTTTGGTCCGCGGGTATTCCAATTCATAGCAAAGAGTTGGGCACAGCAGGAAATCAATGTAATTCCTCCACGTGAGGTTTTGAGGATAGGTCACTTGGCCCAGGGGCGACGTTAATTCCGTGGCGAGGTCAGACCGAACTTGGGAAATGGAGTGCGTGCTTTGCCGCCTGCCGCTGGACACTCCGATTTCATTATTTTCTTTGACCGCCCGAACCGGAGATTTTGGGTATCGGACGACCGCTGACAGGGTATCTGACTCTGGCCTGTCTAGGGATGAAAGGCGCCTTTCTGTTTCGCTCAAATGACCATTGTAAAAGGCGTATGAATGAACTTTCATTAACAGCGTGAGAGTATGCAGGGTGAGGTAGACCTGGGCAGTCCAGGTCCAATCCAACATAAACGGCAGTCTGCGTCGCATGATTAGCACTCTTGCGAAGCATGGTGTCGTGGAAAATAGTCTTACGCGACCCAAACAGTCAACCAGGCGAACTGAAACACACTCTGGACGGCTATCCCATATTTACTCCACCGGAGCCACCCTTTGCTTGACCGGATAGCTTTGTGAAGTGGCAACGTTAAGCCAGTGCTCACAACCATTGCAAGATCGCAAAGACCCAATTGAAAGACATTGGCCGAAAATAGCAGCCACACCTGCATTCGAAGAGGGTATCCGGTATCCTTCACATTGCGCAGAACTGTAGTGATGACCATAATAGCCAGGCTGATCCAGAACAAGACGAAAAACCGCCGGAAGTTTTGATTGTCAGAGTTGGGGTCAAAATGCGACAAACGAGGCTGATAATCAATGTTGTAAAATAGTCGGGTCTTTGCCTGCGCGCGAACCTGTTTTCTCGCAGACGAGATCGAATGCACGGAAGGGGGTGCATCTTCGGGAATGGGTGTCGAAGGGCCGCTGCTCCTCAAGAGTTAGAAGATCCAATGTCCAGATCCGAGACGACCAGACGGCGCGCAAAGATGCTTGGCTCACCTCGAAGGGCCCGACGACTGCCTTTCCTGGTTCAATTGGCTTGGTAGATATTGATCCAGCTGCTCCGCAGCCCGGAATGCGCGGGACCGCAGAACAGCGTGGTCATTCCCGTTGGCCAGAGCAGAGCGCATGTTGGTGGTGGAAATCCGGGAGGGCATGCTTCAAGTGTCAGTACCATCGGCCCTCGCTGTGCAAACGATAGCGGTAGGAATACTAGCAGGCATCCTCGCAACAACCTCTGTTCTCTTTCTTGTTCTAGGCTGAATATCGGCCTCCTCAGCCCCGGGAATCAAATCCAAGAATCTCAGCTTCCCGTTGCGACCAACTTCATCATGCTTATGTAATGCCTTCCGAGCAGCCGGGGTTTGGCGCTAGCCTACACGGGCTAGATTGTGCTGGTTTCTTGGCATAGAGGCCCAATCTTACATAAGCATCACTTCCAGCATCTCGTTTGGATTGCGTGTGGAAGCAACGCATCGTGCACGATTTTGAGGAGACAAGGAAGGGCGCTTCGCAAGCAAGGCTTCAGTTTGCTAGGCTGCTCTCTGTTATTTTCCAATTCCATCTTTCGGTGCAGACTCACCGACACTCCTGCACGCTAACCTGTATGCCTTGAGCCCCGCCGGGGGTTCCCACGACCGCCATGACCTCCCGTGAGTCCCTCCGCCAATTGAAGCCCCGACTTTCCCATCACTGATCAATTCTCAAGTCAAACAATTTATCCGGAACGTGCGTGCATCGAAAACAATTGCCGATGAGCGGGCAGTGGTGCAAAAGGAGAGTGCTGCAATTCGCGCCAGCTTCAGGGATGAACACACCGATCACAATGTCAGGTGAGCGTCCCGTACGACCACCGCCAACGAGCATACCGCTGATAGTTGCCAAGGAGGAACAATGTAGCCAAATTGCTCTATCTCTTCACGCTAGGCGAGCGGACGCATTTCGGCCAGATCGAGTGCTTGAAGCTTCTCGCCTCGCCGCGCTTTGCGGACAAACGTTTGGGGTACCTGGGAACCATGCTTTTGTTGGATGAGAACCAAGAGGTCTTGACACTGGTTACAAACTCTTTAAAAAAGTTCGCGTCTCAATTCCCTTCATTGTCGACTCCACTGACGACGTTTACAGTGACCTGAACCACTCCAATCAATATGTAGTTGGACTTGCGCTCTGTACGCTCGGGAATATTGCATCTGTGGAAATGTCCAGGGACTTATTTCCGGAAATCGAATCTCTCATATCCACCGCTAATCCTTATATCCGCCGGAAAGCAGCCCTTTGTGCTATGCGTATCTGTCGCAAAGTCCCAGATTTACAAGAACATTTTATCGAAAAGGCCAAGGTACTCTTATCCGATAGAAACCATGGAGTTTTATTGTGCGCTCTTACTCTTGCCATTGACTTCTGTGAACAAGATGAGGCAGAAGGAGGTCAAGAAATAATTGATCAATTCAGGCCGCTGGCTCCAGGTTTAGTGAGAACGCTAAAAGGCCTGACAACGTCAGGATATACTCCGGAGCACGACGTTTATGGGATTACAGACCCCTTTCTCCAAATCAAGATCCTCCGACTGTTGCGGGTTCTAGGCAGAGGCGACGCAGCTATCAGCGAGCTTATCAACGATATCCTCGCGCAAGTCGCGACGAATACTGACTCGAGCAAAAATGTGGGGAACTCTATCCTATACGAGGCCGTGTTGACTATTCTAGACATAGAAGCTGATTCTGGGCTCCGCGTGCTGGGAGTGAACATCCTCGGAAAGTTTCTGGCTAATAAAGACAATAACATCCGATACGTAGCCTTGAATACGTTGATCAAGGTTGTTGCTGTTGAGCCTAATGCCGTTCAACGACATCGGAATACGATTCTTGAGTGCCTGCGAGATGCCGATATCAGCATACGAAGACGGGCACTTGACCTCAGTTTTACGCTTATTAATGAAGGAAATGTGCGCGTCCTCGTTCGAGAGCTCTTAGCATTCTTAGAGGTTGCGGATACCGAGTTCAAACCAGTCATGACCACTCAGATCGGAATAGCAGCTGATAGATTCGCACCAAATAAGCGTTGGCATGTTGATACGATGCTACGGGTGTTGAAACTTGCTGGCAATTATGTCAAAGAACAGATACTTTCGTCCTTCGTCCGCCTTATTGCAACAGCGCCTGATCTTCAAACATACTCAGTGCAGAAACTTTATGCCGCTCTTAAGGAAGATATCTCCCAGGAAGGGTTGACTTTAGCGGCATCGTGGGTTATTGGAGAGTACGGCGATGCCCTTCTTCGTGGAGGGCAGTACGAGGAAGAAGAACTAGTCACGGAAGTGAAGGAGAGTGATGTCGTAGATCTCTTCATGAATGTCTTGAACAGCACTTATGCCTCGCAAATTGTCACAGAATACATTGTCACCTCCGCAATGAAATTATCCACGAGGATGACGGATCCGGCTCAAATTGAGCGAATTCGAAGATTCCTTAGCAGCAGGTCCGCTGATCTCAACGTTGAAATTCAGCAACGAGCCGTGGAGTATACAAACCTTTTCGGTTATGATCAGTTGCGGCGTGGTGTGTTCGAAAAAATGCCACCTCCGGAAATCCGAGAGGAGCAGAGAGTTTTGGGTCCATCTACAAACAAACGCCAGAGCAGAGTGTTGAAAGATAAATCCAAGAAGCCAGCCAAGCCATCCGAACAGGATATGCTGCTTGATCTAATGGGTGGCTCGGATGTACCGGCCGCGGATACAACTAAAAATCTCAATGGGTCTCAAAACACTGCAGACTTGCTGGCTGATATTTTAGGTGGCGGGCCATCCACAGCCCAATCACCGCCGCCACCATCAAATCAGCCATCGAACGTCAATGCAATTATGGACCTTTTTGGTTCTCAGGCGACCCCCCCAGCGATGCAACCGCCCCAAACATCTGCCTCCCCTGGTCTATTTGCACCTACAAAGTCACAACCCTCTCAGACTCCACCTCCCGCCTCAGGTGCACCGATGCATATCGCATTTAACAAAAATGACCTTACATTGGCCTTGCAAGTTCAAAGAAGTAACCCTTCCGCTGCACAAATTCTTGCCAAGTTCCGCAATACGTCAAATCTTGACCGGTTTACCGGCGTTGGCCTGCAAGCAGCCGTGCCCAAATCACAAAAACTTCAGCTTTCAGCCATCAATAAAAGTGAACTAGATGGAGGACAAGAAGGTACCCAGGTCCTGAAAGTAGCAACCGCAACGAACAACGTACGTTTTCCTAAAATCCATGATTGTAGTGATGGATATGTGTGCTGACTCACGAATTTGCAGCCGCTACCCGCCAAAGTTAGGTTACGCCTGAGGGTCACCTATTCAAGAAACGGATCGGAGCAGGTGACGGAGCAGGTGGACTGGACAGAGCCGTAGGCAGTTGGTTTGATTATTTCAGCATGATTCCCCTTGCATAAAGCATTTCCGTTGCCATTTGAACCTCTTACTTGTGAGGCATCTGAATTGACTAAGCGAAGATATATATGAATAATTCATTCAGTTAATAGACACGAGGTATTTGCTTCGGGCATTTACTTTGGTCTCAGAATTCCCTAGCGACGGTAACTCTGACATCCGTCATCTAAGGACCATGGCTTCCCTCAGGCTGGTTGCTGCCTTCCCATGTTTTGCCGTTAAAAATTTATTCAACCAACCTTGGTTTTATGATGAGCACTTCCCTTTTCAATGCCCTTCGTCATCCCCAACTGCTATGGGTCTCCAGCCTGCTGTTGCCTGATTAATACCATGGGCGACTATTAGTCTCACTGAAAGCACTTGCCATCAATATGACTAGCTTGAGTTCACGTCAGGTCTATAAAATCCCCCTTCAGCTCTTCCATCCTCCGTCGTTCTTACAACTCCATCCTCACCTCTCCAATACACAGTGCAAAACATATACTCTTAACAATCCTTCTTGCATATCCTTACTGACTTGACCTACTATTCCACTATGGATCTCTTGGTGAGTAACTGCCCTACCGACCTTGTGTTAAGCCCCCTTGTATCCTCATAACGCCTCCCCTAACTCCCTATAAAATCTAGTTGGAGGTAACCTTGAACATTGAGGAAGAGAACGCCAACGCGATCTCACGCCTCTCAGACGAAGAGGCGCAGGAGCAGCTCGAAGCTGCCCTGATCCTATTCTTCGCTGCGGGGCCGGTCAAACCTCGAGAGAGCATAGCGGTCAATGCAGCCAATTGTCTGGCGCATTGCAAGGGGAGGGACATTCCGATCGAAGCGAGATCGGATACTATCTCCTTGAGCTCTTCATCGTCCGCAACGGTGAGCGGCCGGGGGACTTCAGTGGGCACTGTGTAGAAAGTTTCTTGGAGGGTAAGTGTGTTTCGAAATATAGTTAAGAAGCCTTGCGGCTAACGCGATATTGGAAATACAGCCCTAGGAGTCTTATCGGCTTGCGTTGCAGGTCTAAGAGAGATGAAATGTATTCCGATGCTGATCTGGCGTAGAAACGAGGGTGCCAACGTTTAATAGGTTTTGGCGTTGGTGGATAGGTGTATTATATACCCAAGTTTAATTTCTTCGCGTTGGCATTTGACCTTTGGTATTATTTATATTTGTTTGGAGTTTTGGATATGGGGTGACATGGCTTTGATTAACTATGTAACATTGATGCCATTCCTACAAAGGACTACCTCTTTAGACCATCATCTATACGGAGTATGGTCCATTGTAATAACTTCATTGCCATAGCTTCGAACTTTTGAGGTCCGAAAACATCCAATAACTATTAACTACTTTGCATATGACAGGGCCTATATCATTAGATTGACCACAAGCGCTTGCTTTGATGGCTGAAGATCCCCATAACAAAAGGAATGGCCAAGTGGAAAGAAGCGGGAGAGCCGGATGCAGGAGATATGGAACAGTTGGTGCAGAGAAGCCAACGTGGTTTCCCTGCTGCCTGGTTTGCCTACATTCAGGGGTCAAGCTCACGGCACAACAGCTCGTAATCTCCTCTCTTTCTCTTTGTCCTTTATTTTTTAATTGTTTATCACCTTTGCAATCATGGCGGTTATCCAGATCAGTATCATCTCAGATGTCATATGCCCATGGGTACGTCGTCCTTCCCCGCATATAGAAATTCCCATAAAATAGTTAGCCAACTCAAGCGTTCCCCGCCTTGGTTCAGTGCTACATAGGATATCGTACCCTGCAGCGGGCGATTGAAATTTTCCAGAAGACGTATCCGGGCGGCTCCCGAGATACATTTGAAATCAACTGGAAGCCGTACTTCATTGACCAGGAGGCACCGACGGAGAGTGAGCTGATTCAAGGTATGGTTCCCCTTTTTTTTTTCTTGTTCTCTCTCTCTCTCTCTCTCTCTCTTCCCCCCACCTTCTCGATTTTGTGAACTAGTTAAAAAACCAAAAACCAGACCGAATGCTCCGCCGCATGCAAGATCCCAAAACGGTCGCCGCCGCGCAGACCCGTCTCGCACGCGCCGGGCGCGAGGTCGGCCTGCATCTGAAATTCGGCGGGGCGGTGGGCAGTTCCCGGCTGGCGCATCAGGTGCTGCAGGTCGTGGGGGCGGAAAAAGGTAGCGCGATGCAGTGTCGCGTGGCCGAGAGCTTCTTCCACTGCCAGTTTGAGCGGGAGTTGGATACTAGCGGTGTTGGGGTGGTGCTGGAGGCGTGTGCGATGGCGGGGCTGGATGGGGCGGAGGTGCGGGGGTGGTTGGAGGCGGGGATGGGGAAGGAGGAGGTGGAGCGGGAGGAGCGGGAGGAGCGGAGGGCGGGGGTGCAGGGGGTGCCGCGGTTTGTGGTTGGGGAGCGGGAGGTTGATGGGGCGGTGGATTTTGCGGAGTTGTTTGAGGCGTTTGTTGTTGCGAGGGAGGGGGTGGAAAGCGCCCATGGTTGAATAGGAAGAGGAATCTTGGGCATTTTGAATTGAATATTTAATGCGCAGAAAAGAGTTTGGTGGCATCCAATAGACCTGTCTTTCAAATCTATCACTTTATTCTAGAACTGTCATGGTACCAAAAGGGGTTTGTTGTATGATAAATTCAGATCATATTGTTCATCCAAAACTAACCATTATAAAAACCAGCAAACCCTCAAAACTCCATAGGGAGGTCATCGGTGCAGCAGCGCACAGAGTAACACCCCGATAACAAAAGAAAACAAACAAAAATGAAAGTCAAAAAACGCCAAAACTGCTTGAGATGGGGCAAGCCGACACAGCCCTTCATAAATCCAAACATATGCTCCATCATGTATGATGTCCGTTTGTCCCCTGCCGTTGTCCCTTCCACCATGATAATGAAAAACGAATAGTCCGGTTCCGTCTTGCCAGGAACTCATTGCTGCAACTAATACTGTAGGGATTCAAAATAATCAAGAAGGAGACGCAAAAGAAGAGCTACTCCCTCTTCAGTAACCGCGGAGAAGAGAGGGGAAGTACAAACAGGGGGATGAAATGCAGAGTACAAAATGCAGGACAGCAGATTCGTTGCTTTGCAACAATCTGTTTCAGGTGGTATATCTCTGGTATAGATGCATTTGGAGATAGATAAGCACCACGATTTGATAAAGGGCAAAACAAGAGTAGGGTCGTTAAGTAAGGGGAGTCATAAAAAAGGAACACATTTCCCAGGTATAGTCAAAAAGGCAGGAAAGCTGATGGTGCCCCCCAGAACTGGGGGAAAGTGAAGATGGGTTTTTATCTGGAGTGTAGAGTTCGAGGTCGGAGGTGTACGGTTCTATCATTGCACTCGATCGAGAGCGCATAAACCAAGAGATATTCCTCAAGGAGAGTTTAGAAACTGTAAAATGAAGGTTCTCTGACATCTTAAGAGGCCAGAACGATGTAAAAATAAACCGCTGAATCTGGAGCAGCGATGGATCAATGATCCATACAGTGAAAGAGGAGATGGGACTAATATGCACAAGATGATTCCTTTCTGATTATGCTGGGGCGAGCATCCGGTTTGTGCGATCGAGGAAATGGATCTCGGGAATGCCCCCAGGACACGTCCTCTTGTCGAATTCTGGGCGGGGCGTATCTAACGGGTTCTTCTGGAATGCGCGGGTAATAATCGTCAGAGAGTTCGCTGAGCAAGCCGTCTCGGCTTGTTCGCAAAGTGGGAATACCGCGCCCAGACTCACGACGGGAGTGAAAATCACGGGACTTTGATCTCGATGACTGTTTTGGGGGTGGGCGTATAATGGGTATCGGATCGCGTAGAGCGGGCGAGGTGCTGTGGCTGCGCCGGTGGGTGGGAACGGTTGGGTCGATCAACACAGCTCGATGCCTTGTGTAGTCATCATTTTCCTCGACGACCATATACTTGCTGCTCTTGGGTGGACTCGACTGAAAGATCTTTGGCGTAGCCGGGCTGGAACTGGAATATCCCGAGTCGTACAAGTCTTTGAGTTTTGATGATTTCGGCATGATCGGATCTGCCTGGCGAGGGATGATGCTCGGCAGGGTATCCGCACGGCGGATGGGAGGATGATCACGCTTTTCTCGAGCATGATATGTTGACGACCGGGTTGGCGGCGCGGGAGAGATCCTGATGGCAGATGGGATTTTGATCGTGGGCGGCGCAGAGGTTGCGCTTGTCAGGTTGGGGATCTTGCGGGCGGCGTGCGATCGTAATGACGAGGGATCAATGATTTCGATGGAGGGTCTGCGCTCACGCGGTCGAGGTCGGGCGGACGAACGGCGAGGAGTATCAACGTGCACTGGCTCGTGGTGCATTTGAAACGGCCAGGACGACGCAGAAGGGCGACGCTCAGGCTCGGGAGCGAGGTTGTTCCTGGACCGTTCGATGTACTGACGGGCGGTGTCCTGAAGGTAGTCATGCTTGGACGATTCCCACGGATCAGGGTATCCCCTGGGCGACGTGTCCGGCCCTGGACTTTTGGAGTGAGACTCGCGCTTCACTTTCGGCTCCGGAAAGTCGTAGCGATAAGAGCACGATGCATCGGAATCAGAGTCATAGTCAGCGGTACGGCTGTACTTGTCGGAGAATTCTCGTCGACGTTCCTTGTCCCCTGTTCTTTGCACGACTCGACCCTGCTCTGGCCGTCGCGGGTCCGTTCTTTGGGTGGCTCGCGTTTTGACTCTGGATGCTTGCTCTTCTTCTTCTTCTCCTCTGCGTCCTTTGTGGTCGACCGTTTCTCGGGCCCCTCATACTTTTTCGAGCTCGCCCAGAGCTCTTCCGCATAGGCGGGGTCGTCTTCGAAGAACTGGGGCACTCGCTCTTCATACACCTTCCCGTTTCGAATATCGTACGATCCCGTGGTGCGATGGCCGAATGACGGCACGGGGCCTCCCTTCTCCATCGCCTCCTTCCTCAACTCGACCAGACGCGCCTTTTGATCGTATCGCGCTCGTTTTACCTCGTCGGAGAGGAGCTCGTATGCTTCCTGGACTTTTTGGAACTCATCTTGTGCCTTGCCGCGCAGCGATTCATCCTTGATCTTGTCGGGGTGACATTTGAGGACGAGTTTCCGGTATGCGGATCTGATCTCGGCGGTGCCGGCATCTTTGGCGACGCCTAGAGCGGCGTACGGGTCGGGGGGGAGGGACGCTGCCATGGTTCAGTGGTGTGGATACTCTAGGTTGAGGACAAACAGAGGGCAGTGTGAGGAAGAGAGTGAGGTAAGAAGTGACTGATTTTGAAACCGGTGGTCGTTTGAAACTAGGGTCGGTTTCCGTGTCCAGGCAGTTGGTCAACAGATATCCATTGTCCAGCTGCCTGGGATGATAGTGATTAAAACTCTCGTTAGATCTGGTCTGGCAAAGGGAATGGTAATAATAATGTTCGTGAAGGGAATGGAAGAGCCAGCATCGAAGGAATGCTGATTAAAAGGTCAACTGGGTATCGCCACCCTGGAACGGATGGACGAAGGAAAGAAAGGGACGACCAGGTCCGAGGTGGTGAGTCGAATAGTTAATAATGATGACAAAGAAGAAAGAAGAATGATGATGAACGGGAGAGAGAGCGAAGAGAAGAGAGAGAGAGAGAGAGAGAGAGAGAGTTGGGTTGGGGCTGGCGAGTGGTTCGGGTGCGGGAGGGAAGAGAGAGTGTGTCCCCTGCGCCACGCTTTGCGTTGAGATTGACAGCACGGTGGCCAACAGGACAGGGCTGGCCGAGTGGTCGTATCTTCCAGAACCGACGAGGGCGACGGTGAATCAGAGCGAGGGAGGGATGGCTGGCTGTCTTAAGAGCTGCGAGGAATGACGACGATGCGATCGAATACCTGCTGTTCCCCTCTTGGTGCGTGGTGGAGTCGGCCTGGGCTGGGGGGGGATTGGGCGGTGTGGCTTCAGGACGGGCCCCGTTCACCAAGCAACGCAGAGCAAAATAATCCACGCAGGACGGAGGATGCAAAGGAGAAGATGGGACAAAACGAGAGCAATAAATGTGCAGAACCCCGCACGCTGGGCTGAGGAGGGGGAAACGAGGCGCTGTGGTTGGGTTAGTTAGCTCGGCTGGAATGGGAGCGACAAAAAAGGAGCGAAAGCAGCCCGGCGGCAAAAACGAGGGTTGTCTATCACGGTGATTGAGAGAGCTGGAGAAGAAATTGGAATAGAAAGACGACAACATCCCCGTCTGTGCTGGAGGCTGTTCGCTTTTATGATCGCGATTCTACATCGACCGGCGAGAGCTGCCCTGGCGACTTTACTGTCCATCACGGCCCACGTTTGAGCGAGCGTTGAGCCTGCTACGGATCTGCTGCCCCATGCCTCATCGACTGCTTGGATGCCGTGAGGGATTGGTGTGGAGGGGTTCGCAGGCCGATTCGACGACAGACTGCGACGCCCGGCACGGCTCACGAGGAAGTCTGTTGGTGATGAGCTCTGCTGTCACTCATGCCCCCAAAGCTTCCAGCTTGGATGTTTCATTTTATTTTTGACATCGGGCTGCGAGGAGCAACGAGGGTGCGAGTCGGCGCGACGGTTGGCTCTGGTGGACGTGTATCTGTACCTTGCATCTGTTGTCGCTGCAATGGCCGCCCCGAGTATCGGTACTCGCTCAGCTGCTGGTCATCTGCACCCAACCACCAGCCAACCACGCCCGCAGCCCTTCTGCCAAACAGGGCGACCAGACACGATCCGGTTGGCCCATCAGCAGTGGGCCCCTTGTCGTGTCTGTTGCTGGCTTCACGCTCTGTCACTTGCGTCCGGTCCCGTTGGCCAGCATCTGTTCTCGTCGCCCCCGCTGTTTTCCCCTCTCTCTCTCCTTCTCCGCCTTCTTTCCACGGCTGCATTAAATATGAACCTGCGATATCCGCAACAAAATCACTCGATTCATTCGGTTGACCGTCGTATTCAGTTCTCATCCAGAACCTCTGATCGTCTCTCGATTTGCTCATCTCCGCAAGGCTGGCCTTGCCAGATTCTTCAACCCCCAAACCAAGGAGAATAACGTCAACAACAACAACAACCCAACGCCCTTTTCCCCTTATCCCCACGCAGCCGCCCGGCTTCCCCTGAACCCACGATTGGCTCTGGCCCCGATTTCCCTCACTTGGCCCCTGAAATCCAGATCTCATTGGCTCCACGGCCTCCAAGCTGGTCAGTCTGTCGACCAGGATCCAAAAGGGTAGATGCACCTCCACTTCCCATTGTTATCTTCCCTCGATCATCCGTCCCACAATCATGGGGCCAACTCCTGGAAGCCCGGGAACCCGCATGGAACAATCATCCTCAACAAGTCACAATCATCCATGACGAACCACTGCATGAATTCAACGTGCTGGGCAACAAAGGAGACTTTGAAACAAGGCAACAATAGGAAAAAGGAAAGAGAATAGCGGGGAAAGTTCTTTCAGGATCTTCGAGAGAGGGGAAGCCCTCCAATGCTGAAAATGTTGAATCAGGAAACCGACTAGTTATCCGAAATCGAGTCGGACATTTCACATTCCAGCAAGAAATGGGTATGGAGTAGTATTCCTCCTAGCAAACGTCTCTCTCTCTCTCTGACGTTTTATTGAGGTAGCCCAAATCAAAGCTCTTTCCCAGCCAGATATATCCGTGCGTTTTTCTAAATGATGCGTATCTCAAGAATTCATCACTGCAAGATACATGGCTTCACAACTTTTCAAACCCATGTATTTCCACAGCATCATTTGATCGCAATAGTCTACCCGCTCTGGAGTCAAGATGGTTGTTTCTTCACGAATTGCCACGCGATGCTCTTAATGTTAAACCCCTTTCAGCTTGAGTGGCACACATGCTTGCCCTCTCCATAACCCACTCTCTTACTGGCCACATCTCTGCAACGTCCAGGATCAGCTTTAATTCATCTATTCCAGATACCTTCTAATACCACATCCTGCCCATTCATACCATCATCAGTGACCTTTCGCCCCCCCAGAACTCTTTGAACCCTTCAAGCTGCGCTTAGACGTGGGGATTATGTAAGGAGGACATTGAGCAGCTACTGAAAGTAGTCTAGTGTCTTGGCAGGCCTGGTTTCAATGGTACTCCGTACTTCCAAGTGTGTTATGTAAGCCCAATGAGGTCATCGTTCTGATGAGGTCCCCAAAAGCTGTTTTCTCCGCAAATTGACTTTGGAGGGCAATACATATTGTATGGAAAACAACTACTGATCCAGGCGGGAGGGTAAAAAAAAAACGCGACAAAGGAGCAATGGCAGCGCTACATGCAGCACTTCGATCGCTAGAGCCGGTTTCAATCGACGATATTCCCACCGAAAATGCTGATCTTTACACATATCTACGAGACCTGCTCGTGCAAGCCCGGCTGATCGTCGAATCCGTCCCAGAGCCTCCCTCTCTCGCTCCCACCGGATCTACCACTGCTGACAACCCCTCGAACCAGTCAAGTCGAGCGGCCAGCCAGAATGGTTCGAAAATCTCTGCATCTCGGTCCACGCCTGCACTTGACTCGGGGGATATACACGCCTTGCAGAAAGAGTGGGGCCGGCCTTTCAACAAAGTCGACAATGTGAAGGAGAACCCGATGCGTATCCCCGTTTATAAACTGAGGAGCAAAGATGGGAAAGGAGCGTGGTTTGCTCGGAGAAGCGTGCACGCCGGGACCCTTTCATACAGTCGGTTCAAGGACAAACTTCAAAACGAGCTGGCCGAGACGATGAAGCTTCGAGAGGAAACAGGAGAAGGAGTGAGTATTAGGGGAGTTGGAAGTGAAAGACGCCTAGAACAGCTGGCTATCCCACTGCATTCAGCTCGTGCTGATACGGACAGTGGTCATGGAGATGAGCTGGCAGTTGTTGAAGTACATCATTTATCTGCTCATTTCCCTGGCCCTTCAACCTCTAGAGATTTTGTTACATTGCTAGTCTCTTCGGACAAAACAATGGATGTTTCCAGCACCGCTGAAGATGGAAAAACTGCCGAGACTCCTGATTTGCCGAGAAACTTTGTGATCATATCAAAACCGTGCAAGCACCCTGATGCTCCCATACGCAAAGGCTTTATCAGAGGCCAATATGAATCTGTTGAAATGATCAGGGAGTTGCCTGCCTCGGCAGTAGGGAATTCCATTGGCGGTTCGGAAAACGAGGAAAATGCGAACCCTGTTGAATGGATCATGATCACGAGAAGTGACCCAGGAGGAAATATTCCAAGATGGATGGTGGAGAAAGGCACTGTTCCTAGCATCATCGCGGATGCGAAAAAGTTCATAGACTGGGCAACCCGGGATGAACAAGAAATCAACGAGGGAGAGGAGGGCTCATCGGCACCGCAGTCGCGGCACGACTCTGGGAATTCTGAAGAAAAGCCTCAACCATTAGAATCAGTGGGCCGAAATGAAGTAGAGAAGCTTGTCCCGGAACCGGCCACCATCGAAACTAGGCGGGATTCTGGCTATAAAGACAGCCGTGATGAAACGAATGCGGGACAATTTAACAGGGCCGGCCTCGCTGCAGGAATAATGGAAACCGTTTCTTCAACCCTTGAATCCGTCGCACCAAAAGGACTCTTCGACTACCTTGATCTACCAACCAATCCAAAGCAATCAGCCGATGAAATAAGCGAAAACGGTAATGAAAATGAGACAGAGGACCGCAGTATCGATGCTGCTAGAGAGGGTGCTGCTGCACAGAGGGATTCTCCTGTTTCCTCTATCGCATCGTTCACCAGCGCCGACTCATGTCCAAGAAGCGTGCAGCAAGAGGTCGGGGAGCAAAGCCAGCTATACGATGAAAATAACTCGTTGAAGTCGGCCGGATTTAGGAATGACCAAGGACTTGAAGTGCCGGGCGTGAAGGGAGCAAGCAGCGCTAGTAGTAGTGTCCGTTCACTCAAGCAAGATCTGCTTCCGTCGAGCTTCTGTGACAAAGATCTTGCCAAACTCGCTATCCGCAAAGCTAAGGTGGTGAACGAACTCGAAATCAACAATGAGCAACGCAACAAGTTAATGAATCAGCTATCACATCCACTCGCTTCAGATGTCAGCGCAAGTGACGCAGACCAAGAAACACCCCCTCCCGCAAGTGCAGCCAAGAAAGCAACAGCATCACATAAAAAAGATTTAGCAGCATTGAAACGCAAGGAGGCCAAATTAACTTCTCGACTCCAAAAGATTGAATCACAGCAACAGAAAGTCCAAGCAAAGGCTGAGTCGAAACGCAGGAAAGAATCAGAGAAGGCTGAAATGGGCAAATTGAAAGCCGAACTGGAATCACTGAAGGAAGAAAAGGAGCAGATGAGAGTCGAGATTGATGGGCTGCGGCAAGAGAGGAGTCACTGGCTGAGCATAGTAGGAAGGCTGCAACAGGAGAATACTAAACTCGCTACGCAGCTACCACAAGACAGAAGTCAATAGAAAGGGCAAAAGGCACGGTTAGATCAAGGAGTTTTGATTCAATTGATTCATCCGTGGAAGACGATTGTGTACATATTCATTGCATATAGAATGGAACGGGACGGAACATGCGCACACACATGGTATAGAGTCCGCTTCTGGCAAAATAAATCGTCCAGAAGCGATAGCGATCTAAGAAAAAAAGCGCTACTTCTCTTGCTCCTGTTGATTCTAGCCCGCCCTTTGGTACAAACCGGATATTCCGGACTATGACCTGTCGCATTTCCATCGGGATGGAGTGTTGGGTTATCTTTCCCAAAGCTCTTTTGTCCTTGGACGCCACAAAAAGCTGATTGTGTGGCTCTTCAATCAGTCTTCACTCGAGCTCGAAGTCTGTTCCCGCATCGACTTTGCTATCGGATTGAGGTTACAATTGGAGGCTGATGGGCGGGCGGTGACTTGGCATTAGTCTAAGGCCGGTAGGATTATTCCTGAGTCTGCAAAATGCAAAATTAATTAGCAATCTCACACGAACGGGCAACGATATGCCAGTTAGCAGAAAGGGAACTCAAGTAGCCCTACCTCCGGCGGATTTCCCGCTCCCCTAACCATCTTTTCTATCATCATAGCCTTAACCTTCTCTTTAGGCTCTCCCATTCCAATCGCCATGTATTGCAAGAGCGGCGGGTGGCCAACGTACGATGCATAGCTATCGCGAATGATGTTCGAGTTCCATTCGTATTTTGTGGTATCTGCGTGGCCGGTTCCAACGTAACGCGCCTGCAAAGCCTCGAGGTTTTGGAGAGTGCGAAGTTTATCGGCCATTGTGTCGGGCTAGTTGGACTGAAATCGAGTGATAACGACGATAATGAAGAGATCGTGATAGAGCTCTCATGACCAAGTGTGGCAAGCGACCTGAGTTAGGGGAGATATCCCATCACGTGACGAGGCGATTCTGCCATACCAGAAAAGAGACCAAGGGTCCAGCTAAATGGACACCCCTGGTCACCTACTGCTTTACATAGCAGGCACTACCACCCAGCAGAATCATGCTCAACAAGGCCAAATCCTTTGATTTTTTGAATATAATTCAAAACGCCATCTTGGCTCGTAAGGTCTGGCTAAGCCTGTGTGGGTATAATATTTGACGGGTAAAAGAATTGATAAAGCAACCCTCACCGTGGTTCGAACCCGTGGCTGCCCCGGAACAAAAAAATGAACAACACCGCGAGTACTAGAAAGATTAAGGTTCAGCCCACTCGGCCACTTGCCGTTAGGCAATTGGTTCAAGTGGCTAGCTGACTAATTAAACAGGTTGAAGGATGAGCTTGTCCAGGCTGAGCGTCAAATGCTTGGCAAGGTCACATTTAATACTATTGTTAGCAGCGCGCGGAGGCATTTTTTACTTGATCACTCATATGATTGCCACCTTTAGCGCTCTTTTAGCGACCGCGTAGTTTCGAGTTGAGAAGAATAGATTCCCATGGGCCTCAATGACTGCCGCATAGAATATCGGATTGCCTCCCTCGTTCACTCGCATTTTGATGCTCTTCTACCGCGATACAAACCCAGGAGTCGTTCTGACGGCACCCAGGAATGGATACCGTTGAGTGGCATAGTGCTAGTAACAGGTGAGTTCATCTTGCGGTTGAGGAGATGAGGATTGGCTCATGGTATCTCTTCCTGTGGATGATCCCTCCTACTAGTGATGGAGCACCTGCTTATTCATTCACAGGCGAAGGCACCGACGAGGAATCTCTAACCTGCGTTGCTCTTGCGTATGGAATTAAGCCCTATCCCGCCGGATCTCTACAGATAACTAAATAGCGGCATAGAACCGGCGCAAAATGCCTTTCATCGTCTCAAATCCCGTCCTGTCACGGTCTTGTGCTTCATGACAGTCATGCTGAGATTCTTGCGCTTCGCGCTCTTAATCACTGGCTCCTCGAAGAGTGCAAGTCAATGCTCATGCATACCGAGAAGTTTAGATCTCGCAGTGGAGTAGAACTAACCGAACGTCAAAGCCGGGGTGATGACAGCCTTGAGCTTTCTCGGTTCTTGCAGTGGAGGTCAGTAACACCAATGGTTGGTAATGATGAAGAAATGGTTTCGTGGCCACCTTTCAAATTCAAAGACAACGTGAAAATATGGATGTATTGCACCTGCGCCCCTTGCGGAGATGCCAGTATGGAACTATGCATGGCAGCCCAAGAAGACCCCACGCCGTGGCAAGTCCCTGCAGCTGACGCTACTTCTGCCATTGAAAATAATCTAGTAGTAAAACTATTAGACGGCCGTGCTCACTTCTCGGTGCTAGGCGCCGTTCGTCGCAAACCGTCTCGCGCCGATGCACAGCCAACTCTAAGCAAATCTTGTTCAGATAAACTTGCGGCAAGGCAAGTCACATCGGTTTTATCGTTCCCAGCAAGCCTGCTTATTGCCCCGTCTCCCAATGCATACTTGGCAAACGTCGTTCTCCCCGCGAATGAAATAAGTCAAACTGCACTTAAACGGGCATTTGGCAGTGGGGAACAGGGCCGCCTACATAGGCTTAATGGTCGAAAATGGCAAGATGAAGTGCATTCAATGCATTCGGACAGCGGTTATGCATTTACTCCCTTCGATATTCGGGCGTTGCCCATGGATCTGCTGAATAACCTCTGGAAATTCTCCAAGATAAAAGACGCCAGCTCAAAACATCGTAAGATATCGAATTTCTCGGCAGTTTGGACTGCAACTCCCACCTTGGGAACCAACCCAGCTTTTACCATTTTTGGCCAAGACGCGGGTCTGCCATATGGTCAAGGTATCGAAAAGACTGTGAAGGCGTACCCAACCAATGTCAGCGAAATCATTCTGAATGGCGTTAGGCAAGGATACCACATCTCGTCTTCGGATGTGCGCAAGGCAAGCGTGTTGTCGCGAGCCAGGATGTGGGATCTCCTTTGCGAAGTTGTCCAGCTTTTGCCCGATGCAAAGAAGGATACATGCACCTCCAGTGAGGATGAATCTAGCAAAAATGCGAGAGGCGATGATGCAAATGGAGGGCATCAGTTTTTAAAACTACGTGAATGCGTTTTCCACTCCCCAACGTATTCTATGTTGAAACAAAATGTCGCCGCCGCAAAGCTTTTGCATTTGAGAAACAAAGCTTCAGCAGACGTCCGACAAGTATTAGGCAACTGGATTGAGAATAGGGGTGATGGACATTGGGGTTTGAGGGCCCCTCGAAGTTTTTGATTAATGCGATTAGCATATAATA